TACGCCCATCTGCAATACCAACCGTCTCACGGTACCAAGAAATGTATCTACCAAATTTCATAAAGATATCTCAATTTACAGCTTGCACGGACGGACAGACTGTCACCCGGATTTCAACTCGTCTCTTCATCCTGATCATTTATATGTACATAACCCTATATCTAACTCGATTAGTTTGAGGTGATACAAACAACCATTAGCGGAACCAAACTATTATACTCTGTAGCAACAGGTTGCGAGAGTATAAAAAAGGCACTATATGATATTTTATTAAGTAAAAATTTTAAAATTTTCATATATAAAATGTGCACCTCCGTCCGTACAAACCTATTCAGTCAACTGCTGATTGCAGACTGATTTCACTGTCACTTTGTCCCATCGTAAGTGCTCCTTTTACGCTCTTCCTTTGTGAGTGTTAGTGACAATCCGTGTGTATACGTATGCGATCTCTTACGCTCTTTTAGCACATGCTTAGGATTTGCTCATCTCTTATATAAACATAATGAAACATGCACTCAAAGCACTCAAAGCACTTTGACATCAGAGTGCTTCCCTATTAAATTTTCTCGTGTGTCCTTCAGCGATAAGCACAAGTCAATGACCGCGCTAAGTCAAAGTTTAAACCCAAAAGTCGGAGCAGTGATGTCCATTTGCATATGCGAATAATTGGCCAACCGAAGTGACTTATTTGGTTGGTCACTCACTCATTCATAAAATATTGTACTATTTTTGTTGTTGCCTGAGTGACAAGTGTGCGAGTGGTAGTTGCGATTGCAATACACTTATTTGCGCATAATTTAATTTAAACTTTTGACATTCGCACTCGGACTCGCACTCGTGGCCTTGTACTATTATCGTGTTTGTACAACTCAAAAGTGACGTGACTGCGGATGCGGACGCCGTGCATAACGTGACTTGACGTGATTCATCACCTTGAGTTCAGCGCGGTGGAAAAAACAAAAAACATGCAACAATGAAGTGAAAGATTGCTATGTAGAACAATAAAAACAACAACAAGCATGCAGTTCACATACATACATAGATTTACACACATATATATAAAACTGCAAAAGTCCGAGTTATTGCAGCGCACTGCCGTCTTGTAGTCCATCGAAATATGGAATTCCACGTGCGTACGCCAACTGCGGTTTTAGTGATAAACGGTGTGGGCCTGGCGCATGTTTATTTGTCCGGCTAGTTACTCCGAAGTGCACACATGCACGTACGTAGATAACCGCACTCGTCTGCAAGCGACTTTGTGTGTGTGTATGTGTATTAAGCGGGAAATGCACCCAACATGTTTGCGCGGATTACGGGTCGTTGGCTTTCGGGAGGTAGGGTGGAAAATGACAGCAACACCTGCTGCGAAGCGCACATCCGCTTAACCTCACAGCAATTGTAATGGACAAATGAACAACAAATAGTGTGGTAATTGCAGCGAAGTGAGTTGTGGTTACGACGGTATTGGCAGGATGATTAGCAAACGTCAGTGGTCGCAAAACTTTTAGCTTAGATAATAAGCCGCAACCGAAATCATAATTAGGAATACGAAATTCGTGCGTAACGCGCAGTGGATTATGAATCTGAACCTTAGAAATATAAAAATATGGAAATCTTTTATGTTAAAACTTTTTTTATTAGCAGACAATGGCAAGCCTCCGAGTGTATTTTTACTAGGAAAAAAGCTTTACTGAAATCGTTAAAATTAGGAAGAGGCGCAAATTTCAAATAGAAATGCGGTAACTGGAAAAAATATTTTAGAAAAATATCATGTTCTTAATTGCTACACTATCATATCCCACAACACTGTCGGTAACAGAGAAGCTTACATATATATAAGTTGATTATTATTCCATTGTTCCAATATTCTGAACGTGCGCTGGAAAGCTATTGTTCTTGTCCGTATTTTTCATTATATGTCATTCATTTGAAGCGTAAACACCCAATCTTTTTTCACTCAAATGTTTGTCGAACTTTATGCTTGAAAAGGGTTTTTGCAGGGAGTTCTTCTTCATTACTCTAATATGAAGAAAACCGCAGCCGAAAATCACCACATTTTGGTGCAAGTTAAAGGTGAACATACCCTAGCTGAGCGAACGTGCCAAAAGTGACGAATTACAAGTGGTGATTTTGGCTTGAAAAACGAAGAACGTCCTGGTTAGCCAGAAAAGTGTGAAGATGAGGAACTGGAAGCATTAATTGATGAAGATTATTGACAACCACAAGTAGAGCTCGCAGAATCTTTGGGTGTCATTCAAGCAGTCATTTCAAAACATTTAAAAGTAGCCCGATATATTCAAAAGTACGGTAATTGCGTGCCATATAAATTGAAGCCAAGAGTTATTGAAAGAAGAGTTTCCATGTCAGAAATGATTCTTTAACGCTACAAAAGAATTCCTTTTTGCATCGGATTGTGACTGATGATGAAAATTAGATCAATTATGACAACTCTAAACACAAATAATCATATGTATAACCTGGCCAATCCGACAAATCTACGGCAAAGCTAATATCCATGACTGCAAGGTAATGCTCTGCATTTTATTATGAGCTCCCAAAACCGATTGAAACCATTAATGGCAACAATGCTCGGCTTCATGTTGCAAGACTGATTAAAAACTATTTAGAAAATAGCGGTTGAGAAGTTTTGCTTTCCCGCCTTCTTCTAGGCCATATCTTTCCTCTTCTGATTACAATTTGTTCCGGTCAATGCAGAACACCCTCATTAAAATACGGTTCACATTAGAACAGGGTATCAAAAATTGCCTTGATTCATGCTTTACAGCCACGCTGGCGCAGTTCTTTTGGGATGAACACCACAACTCTCCAAAAAGATAAGAAAATGTTATATCATTAGAAGGGCAATACTTTACAATCCGTTTGGTTCCGTATGATTATCTGTCATCTGCTCCATTTTTATGTTAGCTGGTGTCTCCTCTTACCCTTTTCATTGCGCACTTTTGTCTTTTTTTTCATCTTATGCTTCGTATTCATCTTCGTCTTCAACTGATACATTAGATACTGACATTGTGGCATGTAACAATCCTGAAATGTGAGCTTTTATATTACGTTGAGAGTGAAGTGAGGTCCAGCTAGTGATCCAGCGAAGTCAACAACAATGAAGTTAAACTTAAACTGCGTTAAGGGTTATCATCAAGATTTTTTCCATCTAAAACTGGTTGAAATTGAACTATAACGTTTCCTGCCTCTAGAAATCGAATAAAATGTTTTCAGTGCTTCTAGTTGACTTCATAGTGAAGATCTGTTATTTATATTAATGAAATTAAGTTGACTTCCTTTCCTATAATATATAATAATATTGCCTGTTGCTAAAAATGGATAAAATCGGGTCAATAATTTTTCTAGCCTAGCCTAATTTAATGATGCTACACTTCCGATTGCTTTGATAATACATATGTATGTCACTCAATACAGTTAACATTTCAATAAACTGTATTCGGGAAAATCATGCCATAAAATGATTCAACCCCAATATCACCGATAGCTAGTAATTTTCATCTTTACTAAATTTCACAGATGCTTTGTAACGCATAAGTGCCAAACGCGTTTAACCTTCAATTAAAAAGAAAGTAAGTCCAAACTATAGGCCGTTTAGAATTTCAACACTTAGAGCAAGACGGACCTTTCTGAAAACCAAGAGCTCACTGAACTTCTGTGTTCTTACAAAAAAATTTTGAAACTACGACTATCAAGACCTATAGCGCCAGTATTTAGCCTCGCTCAAGCTAAGAGCAATCTTTGCAGCTATAGATCGGCTAGCTTGAGAGATCACTAGATCTTAACTTTTGTGATTACACTAAATCGTCTCACATTTATATATGTTCAAATGTGAATAAAAGTTCGATAGCTCTCACTTTTTGAGTGTTGCACTATAACTAGAGGTCACTTTGTGCCACTGTTCTACTGAGCCCACGTGAATGTGTAATCGTATACGCAGACACTTTGTCAAAGCTAAAATTGTGGAATTTATACTGACTGTCAGTTTGATTTCCATTTGGTGATAAGCATTGTTGATGTGTGCCAGAAATCCAACGAGCTTACCATATCCGAACATAAATAGCAATGACAGTCAGCTACGAAATACCCGCCGAACCTTTATATCCTTTTGTTTTGTTCTCATCTGTATGCCTACGATGATGCTCCTGCTAATCCTTTTTGTGTAACTGCTGTGGGCTTTGGCGATAAAATTGCTTTGCTTCTATTTTACGCTTCAGTTTAGTCTTTTGAGCGGCAGCAGTCAGGAAGCTAACTTGTTTTTTTCTAACTATTTGCTTTGATTTTTGTTGTAATTTTTGTTTTTGCTCATTCCTTCATTATTACAACACTAAGTTTGACCACTCAATTACGCAGCGCAATAGCCGTAAAAAACATACATGAAAGCTTTAAAAGGAAAATCCTGCACTGAGAGAGTGCTGAGAATGATAACTGATTTGATAGGTTAGGATTTAAGTACAAATATTTGTTGGAGGCATATTATTAATGCAAAAAAGTATGTCTTCAATAGGCAAGGAAGTGAAAGAAGTCCTTTTGAGTAATTGAGTACATTCTCAGTGGCATAGCGGCTCTCTGGAGAGATAACTTTGATATTTGTGGCATACCGTTATTCGATTCTGCTTTTGCTCTCTTGGCTTTTGCAAAAATTCAACGCATTTTCGCTTTGTTGCTTTTTTTCTTTTAGATTTCGTTTTTTTGGTTTTCAAAAATAATTTATTATTTTACGTTTGTTTTTTTAATAAGAAAAAATAAAAATATCTTAAACGAAAAGGAATATTAAGAGAGAGTTGTTATGTAATCATGTTCTAGTTACTGCTTGCTTGCTGTTTACACTTATAAATATTATTATAAGTATATGTATATTGTTGTTGTGCCTATAACAACCTTTCCTGCTACGTGAACATTATATATTTAAATATATATATATATATATATAAATATGTGACAGATATATATACTTGTATGTATGTAATTATCATATTAAGTCTGATTTCAGATTTTCATCTCAATTTCAAAGATTTATTACAAACAAATTTAAACAATTGTTGTTTTTCTCAGTTTTTCTTGTTCTTGAGTTGCTATATATTTATATATAAAAAAAAAGACAGAGAGAGAGCGAGCGATAATGCCGTCATGTTGTCACTGTTGTTGTTGTAGTGTGTGAGTGTTCGAATGAGTGAATAATCAGACGAGAGTGTGTCAGAGTGAGTTTAAATTAGAATTCGAGTGAGAGAGGTACTTTGACAATTTCTGCAGTTTTCCACGTTTAAATATATTCGTTTTACTGCGTCTCCTTCTGATATTCGCTCTTTATATATTTTTGGATTTTTTATTTTGTTGGTTGATCGAATAAGCTAATAATAACTATTTTCTTTGTTTTTAAATTTTATTAAATGTAGTTAAATTAATTTATTCTTCCTCTTCCTCCTCCTCTTCTTCTTCTTCCTCTTCTTCTTCCTCCTCTTCTTCTTCTTCTTCTTCCTCCTCCTCTTCTTCCTCTTCCTCGGCCTCCTCATCTTCCTCTTCGACGACCTCCTCTTCGACTTCTTCTTCATCTTCGACAATATCTTCATCAGCCTTGGCATCTTCCTCGCCCTCGGGTGTCTCGGGTTCGCCGGCCTTCTTGCCTGGTCGTTCGCCGAACCACTTGGGCAGTTTGGCTGCACATCGTAAAGAAGAAGCAAAAAATAATAATAATAATCAATAACAAGTTTTCTCAAAAACAAATAATGCGATTAGTCAAAAAGCAAATATTTCGCAATAAAGTTTAGGTTAAAAAACAGTTAACTATTAGCCAAAAAGACAAAACATTGGACAACAGTTTTAAGAATAGTATTTTAGTGTAAAAAATCTGCAAGTTCTAGGCATCTATGCTTGTTGTTAGCATATTTTTTGTTTTGTATACGTACATTTCTGGCGGCCACTATATTGATCCTTCTTTTCGTTCCAGATCTTCTCATTCACCTCCTTGCCGATTTCTTCCCAGCCCTATTGGCCACATGTGTTTTATGTTATTATTGTTTGTGTTTATGGTTTACGTTTGGATGCAGACGATAACGGAACACATAACAAATGCATACATAAAATCCAAATTCAAGTGAAATAGAGCAAGAAAGAGAGAAAAGACAATGCTTGTAGTAGAATGCGTAAGGAGTATGTATTTGGATGTGTTTGACTCAAAGAAGTTCTATATAAATATAATTCTAGCTATAGAAAACATTTTATAGACTTAAATTATTTTATAGATTTAAATGTAAAAGGAAAATTTTGAAAAAATAAGAATTTGAAGTAACCCGTAGAACTACTGTTACGTCGAATTCAAAAAAATTCACATTGATAATCGTTTTTTTTTTTTGTGAAGAGCATAAATACCATACTTAGTACCAATACTCTCATTGCACTCCTAGCACTTAGAGTGAGTTCAAAAGCGCGGATTTTGTGAAACTACCAATCAGCGTGCGCTTTTTCTCTTTATATTTTAATGCCAAACAAATAGCGCTATCGTTTACTAGTTGTAGGGTTTATGTATGTTTCGCTCATTATTTGATGATTGAGTAACAGAAATTTAGTATAAAAGTATTGTTAATACCAACATGTTCCAGTGATTACACTCAATCTATGAGAGCATTTCTTGTGAGAACAATTCACGCACACAAACAATTCATTTTGGTAATTTTGCTTCGAACACAACACTGACAAATACATAAAGGACAGGCTACTGTAGAAATGAGACCCCACATCAATTCCTGTGTCATCTTAAATGAAAGCGCATGAGTGATATAGGGTCTCAGCTTCTGCAGTCACACAACCGATTTGTATTCTTACATTTGGTTCGCGACGTAAATCTTTCCTGCCTGTCTTGCCAGCGCTTTTCGAGTGCCTCTTTGAAAAGCGTATTATAACCCTTCGTGGAAAAATATAAAAAATGTGATTATAACTATAGACTTATATCGTACGTTATAATAAATTCCCTCCCCTTTAATTACCCACAAGTAAATAAATTGTATAGCTTCTACCAGTTTTCTTAAAATTAAAATACTTACACCTTCGAAGAGTTTCTTCTTGTCGTCATATGAGCGTGTGTCCACACGTCTCTCATATTTGGAGGCGACTTGAATCTTGGGCGGGTATTTGCCAGTCAAAGCCTCAGGGTCGAGACCCTTCTTCAAGGCTTTGTGCCTGAGCTGTTGCTTCTGTCTTTCCTTCAACTCTTTCAACTGCATATAGAATGGCGAAATTTAGTTTGACTTTGAATTCCTTCTAGCAGTTATTAGTACTCACATCGTAATCCTGACGTTTCTGCCTTTCTTCCAAGTCATACTTCTCAGTTTCCAATTTGACGATGAGTTCCCACAGTTCTTGGGCCTTCTCACGCAATTTGCTGTCGTTGAAACCTTCAATGGCCAGAGGTTTGATGCGGAACGACAAGGAGATTTTCTTCTCCTCTTCCAATTGTTCCTTAGTCTTGTTACGCTCCATGGCAGCGGATGAGAGTCCCAACTATATGATTTTTTGGTTTTTGATTCGTTTCGATTCAAATTTTTTTTTTGGTTTTTTTTTTGTGGTGATTTCAGATGATGAAACACACAGTAGCATAATCGTGTAGACCATAAAGACCAAAGTATGGCATGAATCAAAGAGAGAAGTAAATTGTGAAGCGTAAGTAAAAGTGAAAGATAGAAAGATACACACGAAAGAGTATTTTTGGAGTTTGTGTTTGTTTTCGTTTTCGTTTAGGATCGAACAACAGAAGCATTTGCATTTTTGGTGCAAAGTTGACGAAATAACAAAGGAGAGAAACAGAGAAAAGTTGGTGGGTGCGGGAAAGAATGGGGTTATGGGAAGGTAATGGTCAGTGAGTCAAGCAAAGGGGTTATTGGAGAGAGTGAGTCGGTTCGTAGGATTTGAAATCGTTAATTTTTTACATAAAAAGTTTTTTTTTCATTTCAATTAATTTTTTTTTTTTTTTTTTGATTTTCGAATATTGGTTTAGCCAATGTGTGTTTTTTGACAGTGAATTTTTAGGATGTGGATAGTGATAGTTTGTGATAAAGATGGAGATGGAAAGAGACATGGATAGCGTCAGAGCAACAAATAGGAAGAGAAGAAACAAAACAAGGGAACACATATAAGTATAAGGCATTGCATTAGAATGAAAGGATTACCACGCCTGCATCCTTTTTGGCAATAGTGAAATTGGGTCCTTTCTTGTCCTTGTCCTTCATGGCCTGCAGCATAGCTTGACGCTTCTTTTCGGCCTCCTCGAGACGTTGACGCTTCTCTTCGATTTCGCGCTGTTTCTTCTCTTCAACTTCACGAACGCGACGCTCTTCTTCCTCCTTCTTACGTTGCGCCATCTTTTGTTCCTCTTCGGCACGCGAGATCTTGCGCTTGGCCTGTTTTTCTTTGAGCTTCTTCAGCTCATCTTCCTCCTTGGCACGCTGTTTACGCCATTCATTAATGTATTCTTTCAGTTGATCATCGAGATCGGAGCGCTTTTGATCCTGACGTTTAATGAATTCTGGATCACCCTCACCTCTGTTAAGTATTCCGTACAAACAATTGTGTAGATGAGCGTGAGTACACGTAAACGATGGATAGAGAAAGAGTGGGAAAAAGAGAAAAATCAGAAATTAATTGTTGTTTTCACAATTCTTTTCCGAAAGTATTAAATAAGTGAGAGCGAGGTAAAATAGCGGTTTTACGAGCCCACATTTAATAGTATAAAAGAGTAGTTGAAAGTAAGGCATTTAAATTCTGTTAAATATACATTCTTTAATAGTTTGTAACATTTGGTTTTCAAATACATTTAGTATCGATAATCGTACATAAGTAGTAAGAGAGTAAGTTTTCTTAAATATGAGTATGTGTGAGTAGTGTCGTATGTCATATAGCTAACTGGTGAACACATATAATGCAATGGTTAATCAAATGAAAGAAAGATGGAAAGTACTCAATGTGTTATTGAGTGTATGAGTTTATACTTGATTACATTTACTTAAAAAATTTTGTAATTAAAAATGTATGTACTTAAATTCCTGTTCACTGGGATGACAGTATGGTACATATATTTGGTACTGTAACAGTGCCGCTTGAAACATAGCATGATTACTTTGTAATTGACTTTATGATAATGATTACCAGTAACCACAGAAAAATTATAAATTACTATTTTGTGATTATTATTAAATAGTTTAACAATATTTGAGAAAGTAATCAATATTATGATTACATGTAATTATTATAGCATTTCAATTGCCTATATTATTAGAAACAACTTTGAACTATCCGAAATGCATTTGTGATTACATTTTTTGTTGGTATTATGATTAATTTTTAAAAATTGTATACTGTAGAATACTGTACTTAATTGAAATTAAATTGAATGTAATCATAACTGTTATTAACAATTAGATGTAAATTATTTTTAAGTGAATTTCACATATTTGTTTACAACAAATGGAAAAGTATGTAATCAAACTGTAATTATAGTTATAGTTTAATTACATGTAGTTAATTTCAGTTATTTTTACTTTTTTAGTATATAAAAGAAATTAATTTTATTAGATTACTGTTATGTATTCATTACATGTGCAGAGAGGAAGCTATTTCAATTACTTATGTAATTTTAACAGTAAAATCAATTAATTTGAAGAATTTTTGTTTAATACTTTTGACTTTTTGCAGTACTGCATCTTTGCCAAGCTGTAGAACTGTCATCCCTTGAAACACAAATCGGCAAGTTCATATAATTTCTACGCTCTCTGTTTGTATATAAAGTAATGGTATTTAGTTGAATCGGATGGCATTTATTGACTTGTTTTTGCTATTTTTCAAAATGAAAAAGCCTAAGATAGCTTTTGTAAATGCTTATCTAAGCTAAATCAAAAGTAAAACAATAACAATAACATCAATATAAACACATACATGAAGTACGCATTAAATACATATCTACATACAATTACAACACAGCTACGATTACAAAAAGTAATTGATATGAATGATAAATTTTTGCAATTTTTGTTTTTGCTGTGCGCTGGCAACTTTGGTGCAGCTCAGAGCTGGAAGTCACCTTAAGAATTCGGTGCTAAATACTTATGTGTATATACAATGGAGCCGAGCAGGCCTTGCTGCATGCCATAAAATAAATACAAAATTTTGAATGTACATTGATAACATGGATGACGAATGTGCAGATTATAGCTGGTTATTATTATTATTGTTATTATTTATTTTTTGTTGCTTGTACGTTCAACACTCTGTTTTGGGTGAGTACAAAAATGGTTAAATTAACTAACTAAACAAAATTACTTTGCATTTATATCAGTTTGGGGGTAGCTTGCGAGGATTTGGCTCACACAACAAATGACACATAAAGCAAAATTACAAAAACAAACAAAGGAATTGTGGCTTTTGGTGGTAGGAAAAATATATATGGCTGCAAGCGAAGTTCCGCTGAATTTAAATTTATTTAGCCGATTATAGTTCGTGAAGCAATTCGTGTTTGAAAACCCCGTTTTGAGGGATTTTATCAAAAGCTTTATGATTTTTTTATTTTAATTTTAAGCCAATTTTATGATTTTGTGCAATTTTTTTTATTTCGTTGAGTTGCCACGTTTTTTGATTTGTTTAAATATTTTTGAGCGCTTCACTTGCAGCCAATTTGGCGTTTGGTGAGTTCACAACAATAAAAAATACTAAAAAATATTTATAAACATGTTTTTTCTTGCTTTATTTTCTAACACTTACTCGGCTGGTGTTTGAGGTGGCTTTCTACGTTTTCATAAGAGGCATTTGCAAACAGTTTGTGGATGGATTGATTGGATTGAATTGTGTGTGATATAAAATTTGCAATATTTTTTTTTTGTATTTTTCAAAAATCGTTTTTTAATTTCATAATTTTTTTTTTATAAATTTTGTTGTTTGGCATATCCACAGTGAAGGATGTGTGGTTGATTGATTGATTTATTTGGTGATGTGTTTCAACATTTTTTGCGTGTTAACAAAAACGCATTTGTTGTTTTTTTGTTGTTTTTCAATTAAATTTGTTTTATTTTTACATTTGTTTAAATTTGGCGTATTAATTTACAAAAAATCGCATGAGTTTTCAAGAGACGCACACACGCAACAATACAAAAAAGGTAAACGTTGACGAAAAGAAAGAATATAAAAAAACAAATATTTGTTTAAAAATGTGTTATATATATACGTGGTAAATATACAGTATATAAAGAAAGGTATGTAAATGTATTTAAATGTATGTTTGTATATACAACGTATATGTGTATGTACTATATAAATATATATGTATATTATGCATATATGTATATATAAACAAACAAATGCTTTAACTCAAAGCTAAAACTATTTTCGAAAAAAAGGAAACTATGCAAACGGGTCAAAAATAGATGTGTCTCAAAATAAATCAAAAGAAAAATAAACAGTACGCTACATTTTCGGTTGGTAACGGTTTTTACAAATTCGATTTTATATTTTTTGTTGTATTGGTGTTGTTTAAAAAATTGGCAAGCGCTTAAGTACGCTTATTATTTACTTTGCTCCTTTACTTCCAACAAAAATCGCATGATCTCATTTAAGTTTTTAATTCAGAGTAAAATGCATACTAATTAGTTAAAGAATAATCTAGTTTGTTGCTAACAGCGCTGCTCTTTAATGATATGCATATTTACAATAAGTTTTGCTGATTGCATATATGTATGTATATACTTTCAAATATATATGTGGTGTGCTATAAATATATGTATATACAAATATAAGTACATATATGTTGTGGCAAACTTAATTGCATTCGTCAAAAAATAACAATTTCCTGAAAAATGCTGCATTGTCAACGCAAAGCTCACTATGGTGCCAAGAAGTATGCTACTTCACTGCAAGTGCATACATATGTGTAGGTGTGTATGTATTTTAACAAACATTTTTATTATATTTGTCGACGTTTTTTTTATTTAATTTTGTTTTTTACTTTTTTTTTTGAGTTTTTTTTTTAAATTTTTGTACTTATTTTTTACTCTTTTTTTTACTGTCTTCTTATCTACTCATATTTAACGCATCTCTGCAACGCTTAAAAATAAACGCCTTTGTGTGTAAGTGTATATGTTTGTGGCGCATATTGCTTGTATACGGTGTTTATAGTTCATTGTTTTTTTGATATTTTTCTTGCATTTTTGGGTCTTTCTCTACTTACTTCCTGCAATTAGAAACAAAAGAAAGAAAAAAAGAGAAAAAACAAAGGAAAAATATTTTTTGTTCAGTTTCAGCTTCACACCCAGATGTCACAAATATACATATGTACATTTTACATAATGTAACATATTCAAGTTGATTGGTATGTATGTATGTGCGTCGCTGACGAAATGGCAAATTTCGCAAAATGTCCAGATTTCGGTTTTAGAATTTCAAACTAAATGCTTTAGTTGGTGGATATTGCTGTGCTAGCAGTAAGAGCATACATACATACGTGTGCGACATATACATACAATATGTACAAAGTGGTTAAGATAAGTAGAGTGAGTATACGAGTAGTACGTAGTAAAAGTTGTGAAAGAGAGTTAAAGAATGGAGTGGTAGGAAGTACAAGTAGATAGTAGAATCAATAGAAGTTTCAAATTCGTATGAATTTAGTAAGAAATTAATTTGTTGCTGATTTTGTTTTGCCATTTTCCGTTAGAAGTATGTAATTGTTAACAATATTGTATTTTTTTTTAACTGAAATTTATTTGTTTGGGTCTAGTAGGTAGTTTGAACAACCGAATCGTTTGGCTGCCACTTGGCATTTAATTTAACTTGTTTTAGTACATTTTTTGTTGTTGCTTTTATGCAAATTAATAGTTTTTATAATGCATCAGCGCAGCGTTGCCAATCGCCCCTAGGCAAATTAGTTTATTTGCATTTGATTTGTTTTTTTTTTTTGTTTCAAATTGTTTGTTTCTAAGCAGTAGCTGCTGTTGCTAAGGCTAGCTTCTGGTGTCTAAATTAAATTTTTCCAGTTTGAGTAATTTTCATAGTTCCAATATGCAGCGGCTGTTTTTAATTTTATTGATTTTCATCGTCGATTTTCGAATTTTGTATTTTTTAGAAGCAGTTCGAGTGCTTTTTTTTTATTAATTTTAGCAATAAAAAATTTTAATCTATTTTCATTTGTCATTCTTTTTCGATATTTTTTTGCCTAAAGAAAACCTGGGCCAATTTGAAATTTACATTTGCACTGTGGGTTTTGCAAATTTTGTGCAATTTTTTTTTGTTTTTTGAAAATTTTAACAATTTTGTTCAGAAATGCTAATGAAAGAATTTTAAAAAATTGTAAAGTCCTTATTATCACCTTTTTTTGTTGGTACATTTTTTTTATCTATAAGTTTTGCGTTCCTAACAATTTTATTTAAATTGCAGTTTTTTATAAATCCATAGCATTTTAATTTTTTTTTTGTGTTTTCGAATACAAAAGCTTTGAACGATTGCAAAACATGCACAAATTATTATTACTGCAATATAGTTTTTAAATCTTTTATAATAAAAAATATTACATTTAACTTTGTTGTTATTTTAGAATTTATTTCCAAGAAATAATTTACACAAAATTTAAATTTTGAACTTTTTTCTTTATTTATTTCTTTAATTGTTTTTCAATTTTTTAAATTATTTTATTTCTTAATTTTTATATTCTTTTACAATAATACTATTTCTTTTTCATTAACTATTCTCAGTTGACCTATTCAGTTTTTAATAAAAATTTTAAATTTTAATTTTTTCAATTCTTTTTCTCATTTGACTAATTTTAGTTAATCACAAAATGTTACAAATTTAATTTTTTATTAATGTTCAATTACCAATTTTAATTAAAAGTTTTTATATTATTTCATAATTAATTTTTTTTTAAGAAATTATTTTTGGATTATTATATAATAAAAGAAAGATTCTTTATTAATTAATTTAAATAATTTTAGTTTGAAAAAACTAAAATTTTTATTTTATTTTTTTTATTTAATTTCATTATTAAAAAATATAATTTTACTTTTCCTTTTTCTTATATATTAATACTCATTAGATTAAAAAAAAACACATATAAATGAGTGGCTTTCAAACTGTTTCGCATTCGCATTTTTAGCAATTTGAAAGCCTCAATGTTTGCAATCGTTCATAGCTTTGTTAGTCTCCAGTAGAATTTAATAAATTTAAGTTTATTTGTGTATTCGTTTAGCATAAAAATAAATTTTGAAATACGAAATGGTTAATTAAAGTAAGTAACGAAGTGAGTATGAAGGATGAGTAAATATTTTTTTTCAATTTATATTTTTTGTTGTTTTTTTCCAATTCATTTGCCATTGCAATCAACCAAATGAGTAAGTATGTATGTGTATGTATTTCTTTTGAGTGCAATAAAATGATTTTATACATTTTTTTTAGTTTTCGTGAGTTTCAAGTACTTACTCTTTGGTCTCCTCGACAACCTCCTCCTCCTCTTCAGAACTATAGCGTTCATGGCAGAATGGGCGTTGGACGTACATGCGAATACATATATGTATGTATACGTTTCGTGTGTGTTGTAGATTTGATGTGTAAATTTTTTTGCACACATACATTCAAACATATTTTTTCGTTATGTAGGTGGGACGGGCAATACGATCAGGTGGACGGGCGGTCGGTTGAACAAATCGATCGACATTCAATGGGCGAACAAACGTGGTAACGTGTACGTAAATTGTTGTATGTGTGTTGTTGTTGTTTATATTTGTGGTTTATAACGGTGCAAACACAGTGGTACATGTGAAGAGAGATAAACAATGACATAAAAAAACATGAAACAATTTGCTTATTAACAACAAGTGGTGTAGTTTGTAGGCGAGTGCTATATTTGCTAAGATACGTACAATAAGATAAAAAATATGGCATAAAATAATTTTTTTTTAAATAAAAAATTTGGTAGAAGTACAGCTTGCTTCACTTTTTAATTTTTTTATATTTTTTGTATAAAAAAGATGTTTTTGAAAAAAAAAAGTTCGGGAGTAGTACTGCTTATTTCACTTTCTAATTTAATTTTCAAATATTTTTCGTTTGGAAAAACTTAAAAAAAAAAATTATTTTCATTCCTATGCTAAATTCACATGCAGCTAATATTTAGTGAAAATACTTATTTTTATATCAAAAGCAATATTAAATAATTCTCGTATTTCCGACAAATAACTCTTATAAATGAATAACTTATTAGCTGTGTTGATTTTTACCAATATTTCACTATAAATAAATTCATAAACTATCAACGAAAAATATCATATAACCAACGCGCTCATATTTAACTATAGAAATATATGTGTTTGTGTAAAATTAGCCGGTAACAGGAAGTCATAAATTCAATTTCTTTAAAATACCTGTATGTAATTTTATTATGAAAATAATTTACAAACAAAATTTGCAATTCACATGCACAAATGTGAATGCGAAAACTCAATGACTTTTTTTATGTTTTAATATTGTTTTATGGCTTATTGAAATGTTATTACATACAACAGCAGCAGTCAGAAGTGCTGTGTTATGTATACGCCACGTCGCACCGGGCGTATACCTGAATATAACGCTTAGCAAATAAGCAATTACGTACATATGATGGTATATATATATAAAAGTGAATATTGAAAATTTTCTTTACTCCAATACATATGTATGCAAACGTATATGTATATATGTGGGTGTAGTTTGATGAACTATTTTACTTTTCAATTCCAAAGCAATTTGTATATTAAAGTGTTTCACTTTTTTATTTTATTGTAATTTATAAATCAACTATTTGTTCAACTGCTCGTTGCGAGTAATTGCCAGCTCTTTTAATCACTTGTATATGATATAGGTGTTATTTTACTGTTATTTGCGTACGATTTTTATGCACACATATACATATATGTATTGTTATTTTGTATATTTTTTCTATTGTCTATTTGTTGTTGTTTTAATTCGTTTAAGTGCTGCTCGCTCCAAAAATATCTGAATTCACTTTGTGGTTGCTATTTTACTTATAGTTCCATGTTCATATACCCTTGCTAGCCACTCATATGGTTTACTTACGTGTACTCCTCTTCATCGGACATGGTTATGGTTTGGGATTAAGAAACCTGCAAAGCAAAGAGAATTTGCGTTAAAGTGTGTTGGCATATAGTGTAAGTATTAAATTGCATTAAATTGAGTTGAATGCAACTTTATTCATATTTTACAAGTTTGGTTGCTTGAAAATAAATTTCTAAATTTCATATTCAATCGTGATTTTGTTATGTAATGTTGCTATTTACGAGACGTTTTCAAGGATTTTTGGTTGTAGAATAATAAAAAAATTTCAATGTTGAATTTGCGCAAAATCTTTATAGAGTTAAAAAAAAAATACAATAATATTTTTTCTAATATGTTTAAGTTTTTTCCGAGCTTTCCCGTTTATTTAATTCAAACATTTCAAATTTTTACTTGAATGAAGTGCTATTTCAGCACTAACTCCATGTATTCGTATATACAAAGCAAAAATTAATCTAACAGACAATTTAAAAATGAAAAGCATAGAAAGAGACCTCTTCTGCAAATCGCTAACTTAAGCTCAATTTTTTTGGCTATTTGATAGCTTTAAACTAAGAAATATGCTTAAAACAATGTCCAAACATGAACAAATGAACATATAAACTCACTTAGACAACTCGAAAATACATATTAAGCAAACACTTATTTCGCAAATAAGCAAGATTTGCATTGTCAAAAAAAAAAACGGCGACAGCAGAAATGAAAACAGAAACAGAATCCAATATACTAACTACAGAAACCGCGTTACAAAGAAAAACAGTTACCTATTTCAATTTACATTATTTATTCTGTAGTGTATGACTATATTTTTGCTTTAATTCTACTTATTTTTAAGCACTGATTATTTAAAATTTCCGGAATTTAGATTTGACAATCCCGAAACTGTTTGAAAACAGAATAAATATTACCAAGAGAAACAGAGTTATGAAGAAAACTAGTTGTACATATGTAATTAAATTATTTATAATTTTAGACATATTTTTGCTTCTTTTCTGAATAGTACCGAAATTTCGGGATTTGGATTTAACAATCCCGAAATATTCGGGACTGGACTGAATAAGAGTTATTTTTACTTCTAAATATTTTAGAATTAATTGCTGTTTATCGGTGCTCTTTTTTATTACACTAAACATTTTTAAGAATCCATACAATTTTCTTTCAGTTTCATAATAATTTTATTACTGCTTCCTTTTTATTTTCAGAATTCTAATTTAAAGTAACACAAAAAGTATGATAGTTATCTATATGATGTCTAAAAATTACAAATGCAATCTTCCCATGTAAAAATACTGTTTTGATAAGAACTAAGAAACCGTTAAAAGAAAGAACCTTAAGAACCGGATTTGAAAAGGTATGTACAAATTTTTGAAACAGAAAGTTAGGCAAATTGTCTAAGAAGAGTACGAGCGGTTATTGCTAGTAATACAATGTCGTTTAAGTGGCTCTTGGTTGGCTAGTATGCTTTAAAGCGCGCTCTTATAGAACTGTTAACGATCTATATATGTATGTCAATACTTAATGAGATGAAAACGATAATTTTCTTCTACAAAAAGTCGGAAAATGCAAAAGACTTGAGAAACTGCATTTTAGACTGCTTCTAAAATCCAATTGGAAGCCTCGGTTTATTCAAGCACGAAAAACTCTATAAATTATATTTCTATAATTTAAATATATTGAGTATTTTAAGCATAGCCATAATGACCCGTGGCATATAAAAGCAAACACAGTTACGTTAACCACCATTTTGCTTACCAAAATGATCTCACATGCCCGCACACATACACATGTATAGTTATTCATAAATGAAAGCAATCATATAAAGTGCATATTTCGCACATAAAAGTCAAGCCAAAAACGACCGAACGCTTGCTTAGAGGCGAGAAATTCACATACTTTCACCGGCAACTTATATGCATACATACATACATGGTACATATCGATATTTGCACAAGCTCGCAGTTTGCTTAGCGAAATGGTTGGCGAAATTCGTTTGAATGCATTTTTAATTTGTTTTACTTACGCCGGCGGCAACAGACAAGCAAAGTAAACAAATTTCACAAATTTTCTAAAATATTTGCCATCAAAAGTTTTGTGCTAACGCGTCACATTTGAAAATAAACGGTAAACCAGGCATACCTGCACACATAAACACACATACATCTACAAAGAGGAAATCCAACCACAAAGCGCGAACAGCAGTTGTTGTTTCGTGTTGTTGTTGTTGGCGCTGCTGCTGCTCATTATCAAATATTCCCCAGACCCACAAATGTGTTTGCATGCTGGTATATGTATATATGTGTGTTTGTGAGTGTGCGTGTGTGTGTCGGCACAAAATCACTGCACATGAATATTTACTAATACACACAAATATACATTTATAAATATTTTATACATATTTTCACGTATTCTCATACTCAAATTCATATGAGTTCGTTTACGTGTTCGCGTGTCTCTGGATGTCTGTGTGCGTGCATGTACCCGTTTCAATCCCTTGAGTGTGTGCATAAATGAGATTTTATATATGATTTTGTCGCTGTTTATTTGCGCCAAAGCATAATACTTATGCAAATAACACGACTACTAACTAAAATACATATATACAACACACACATACACATAAACACGAGCAAATGCTTAAATATTCATTGCTGAGGAAAATATGTTTTTTTTATATTTGGTGAATATTTATAAATAGATCGTATTGAATTTCCACAAGTTGAAAAGCTTCACGAAAGAGCGCAAAAGTATGAGCATAAAGTGAGAGAGAGTGGGTGAGACGTAGGCGAGAACCATCAGCAGGAAGAACACTGCTCAGTGTTATTGGGTAATAACAAATTAAATGCGCATGCAAAACACTCAGCGCTTGATAAGTTGATCCTTTCACAGGTGATATATCACGCATACCTGTTTGCGTGCGTGTATGTGTGTGTGGATGTGTAAACTTTTGAGTTTTGTGTTGATATATGTATGCGTAAGTATGTGCTGTGAGCATACTTTTGCCGGGTGATTCGACATTGATCAGCGAAAATAACCCATTGCGTGGGTGTGAAAAATGCTTGTGGTGGGGTGTTTTTAAAATTGTTTTTGGTGGATTTGAAATGTAAGATATAAATGTAAACATATTATTGTAGAATGCCGTTCTGAAAACATATTTTTTCACATTTTCTATATTTTTGGCAGCACATATGAAAGATGATCTTATTTAAATTGAGTTGAGTAGTATTTCAGTAAAGATTGTGTGGGATTATTTGAGATACTATAGAATACTAATCTTCGATAGAACAGAAGAAGAATTCTGCTTTAATTCAGTATGATATTGAAATATTTGTAAAAAATAATTTAATTTTTAATAAGATTAGCATATTAACTGACATATTTAGACATAAAAGAATGGATATTTGGTCAAAAAGAAAATAATATTGTACATTTTTATAAATAGTATTTATGAAAAACCAAATAAATAATCACAATGAATTTTATTCATACTATAATTACACAAAATTTTACCATGAAGGGTATTCATTTAGTTCAAAAAAAAAAAAATTAGTTATATATGTTAACACAGTTATATTTCAATTACAACTTCAAAAGTTTATAAAATATAATTTTATTACGTGATGCAATTGAAATGCAATTTGTATAACTAAAATTGTAAAGAAAAAGACTGAAGCTTCGATGAAGGTGTTGAATTAAATTTTTGTAGTAAATTAACAAACAAAAAACATGGAAAGGATAAATGGCTTTACATTCAATTGAATAATTTTGTTGAGGGTGTTTGTTTTTTCAGAAAAAATATGTATAAATATAAGGCTAAAATCTTAGAAAATTTTTTTAAATTATTTACTAATATATGATTTTTTAGTTTCAAGAGTGAGTTTAGTAACCAACCAATTGGTTAAATTTATCACTCAAAGTGAATACCGCTCTTGGAAATAAAATATAATTTAAAACAATATTTAAAAGCTAAGGTATTTCTTTTATTTTTTACGAATTCTTTGTGAAAAAATTACTTTTAAAATAAATTTATTTTAAATTTTCCAAAAAAAAAATTTCTTAAAGCGAATAATTTTTTTTGATTTGTTTACGAATTCTTTGTTAAAAAAACTACAATAACAAAAAAAAATTTCATTATTTTTATTTTATTATACCAAAAAATGTTTACTAAAAAAATTTTTTTAAATATTTTTTTACAAAATTTCATTTTTTTTATTTTATTATACTAAAAAATGTATACTAATAAAATTTTGTTAAATATTTTTTTACACGGCCTTATTAGTGACGCTAAACGTATATTTATGTACAAGTATATGTATAATATATGCACGTATGTATGTGTATCTGTATAAGTATGTCACTAAATTTAATAACACACAAGTATCAAATGGCAGAATTCCAAATTTAATAAAAAATGACAGCGACAAATAACTGCTGTCTAAACGCCCCTGTAGATGGGTGATGGGGATAGAAATACAAAGAACAACAACAAATAATAATAAAAATAGAATATTGCGTAGGTGAAACACATCGACATACATATGCATACACACAAACTTATCTGCAAGGGCTTGCGCTAGCATAATTTAGACCCGAACTAGCACACGAAAAGCTTTAAACACTTCGTATGTTATGTTTCATGCGCAAAAGAGCGAATATTAATGCGATCTCTAGCCTTTTATTTCCTATAACTATACGCTTTCTCATCTTTCTATTTTGTGTTTGTGTGTATTTGTGTGGGTGTTTCAGTGATTGTTTTTATATAAATGTGAATGTGTTATTCCAGTTTATGATTTCCAATTTTTAGCTTGTTTATCGCTTCGAAATTTCCGTATTTAGCGCGTCTTAACGGTTGCTCTCATTTTTTTCGTTTTTTTTGGTTGTTTTTTTTTGTTGGTGCACATATGCACATGCTATATTTAATACTTATTCATGCAGCAAATTTGCTTTTTTCATTAGTTTTTTTCTGGTTGCCTCGTAGTACTTTGTTGGTTTTCTTATTTTTTCCATATTTTTCTTTTATAGTTTTCTTGCTGTCCTTTTATTTCAATTCATTTGGCCAAGGTGGCAACTGCATATGTCATGCATAGATATGTAGATATACAATATATATGTGTGTTTGTATGTATATCATGAAATTTATTTTTAAATTCACTCACACATATTTTTAATTTTATTTTACGTTTGTTGTTGTTACGCTGTTGAGTGCTTTTGTGCGTCTCATATGCATAAATGTATATACATATGTATGTTTGTATGTGTGTTTATCTCTGTAGTGACAGTAGCAGCTGCAGCCAAAGCGCTCTGGTGATGTTACCTCACTTTTGTATATGTAAATTTATATTTGAGTATGTGTATATATGTGTGTTGAAGTAAGCACATATTTTTTGTTGCTGCTCGCCTTGGCTGCTGGCTCTCCTTGGCTCTTAGTTTTTCATCTACATTCAATTGAGTTTTCATTTCGCTGCTGTTTTTAATGTATTTTCGTTTAATTTTTGTTGTTGTTTTTTGTTTGTTTCTCTTTTTATTTCGTTTGATGTGTACGCTATTGGTCCACTGATCGCTCGGTATATCATGTAACACACTGAGCTCAGGCCCCGATGTCTATTTTTGGCCATATGTAGATCTCAGGCGCCTGACGTGCCACCAAATGTATGCGCAGCATCGCATACCGTTGTGGTGCGTGGCAGGAACATACAGTGTTGCGGTAGAGTGGGTACTTGCGCGTTTATTTTTTATTAGTCTTATTATTATTTTTTATCAGAAGACTTTTTTACAAAGCTGCGTAATTAAATTTATTTTTATTTTTTTTTATCAAGAAAGGTTATCAGAAATGTTTACAAAATGCATTAAAGTTTCCAAATAGTTTTTTTTTAACTGTGTTAAATGTAATGTTAATAGAAAAAATTATAATTATTACTTTTTCATAATTTCTTACTAATATTCAATGCAAATGCAAAAAAAACTAAAAAAAATATTTTAATAATCAAATTTACAACATTTTTAAGTTTCAAATTCTTTTATTTTTATTTTTAATAGTTACGGTTAGTTTTAGTATTTATTTTCTCTAATTTTTCCTACAATATTTTTTCATTATTTAATAATTTTGCCGAATTTAAAACTATTTATTTTTAAATATGCTACTTAATTATGTTTTAAGTGATGAAAAAATTTTAATTTTTTTAATTATTTTACATATTTTTTAATTTGGTTTCTACTTTATATGTTAAACATCAGTTTTATTTTAGTTTTCCATATTTTGTTAAACATAATTTTTTTCAATAAAATTTATGTTTTTAATTTTTCAATTCGTTGATAAATTTTTACGTAATATATTTCAATTATTTTTTTTGAATATTATTTTTAGCTGCTGCTCCATAATTTCTTGTTTCCCATTTAGATATCCTTTTCTGTGTCAATTTTTTTAAGTCATTTATAATTTTAACGCCACAAATTCACACACACACACTTTCTTCGTAGAAAACTAAAATCTTCACATAATTCAGTTTAATAGGTCACTAGTATGCGAAAACCGTGCGCTCATAATATTTCTAAATTTATAAGATTCTTTGTTAACTGAAAAATTCCTGAGCACAAATTCAGCAAATACGCAGAAATGTCCAGTGCTCGTTATATAATAATTTCGGTTCGTGTGCAAATCCTTTGCGCATTTATACAAAGTCCTCACTCCGTGCGCTTTGCACTCACTCTTACGCTTGTCAACTTCAACCACAAAGCCTTGAAATGCTCACAAGGATAATACAGATTACAAATTTATTGAGCATAATTTTTTTTACTTTTCAAAATTTTTTCTTCGAAAATTTTTACGCTATATTTGCTTGCGTCGCAGGTACTACTACTTAGGATTTTGTATATTTTAGATTTTTGGCTTTATGAATTTTTGCTTCAAATAGCCAAGTACTGTTAACTTACTTAGGGAAAAGAAACAAAATTAAACTCTCTACGATAGTCCGAGCAGCTGGCGACGTTGGGAGCGAATGCTGCGGTTCGACTAAACAGACTGACGATCAAGCAAGAAACCAGTGCGTTATGTTGAGGAAATTTTTCGGAAAATTACATTTTCCCCAACGCATACATATGCAATTAATTGCGCACAGCGACAACAACAGCGCCAGCAGCTGTCCGCCAGCGAGCCGTGCGATCGTGTGCAAGCGTTTTTCGCGAGAGAGCGAATGCGTGCGAGCGGCAGAGCTGCATGTGACACAGTATTGGCCCAACCTGTGTGTGTGAGTAGGACAACAGCAATCCTTTAGGCATGCAGGTGGGTAGCTATGTGAGCTTTAGGTTGGTGCTAAGCAGGCGAATGGTGCGGTCAGGTGGGTGGTGGACGGTTGATTGGTGTGATAAACGGTGACACGGGTAGGGAGCGAGAAAGTGCAAGTGTATGTGGGCGCTGTCTTAATTGCTATTCTTGTTATTGTTGTTGCTATTGCTGCTGCTATTCTTGTTGCTATTGTTGTTGCTGTAAGCTATCATAAAGATATCTAATTTGAAATCTAAACTTTTTATTTGTAAAATTCTTTTTGTTTTTCACATGCATGCTTACACACACACACTCGCATACAGCGCCAGCAGTCCACCTACGTGTTGCAGCAACGTTAGTCAAAAGTGGCAACAGGCCATAAAGCAACAACGAACAACCACCAAGCAGCCGTTGTTGTTGGTAGGCGCGCATTGCGTGCTTGTGTGTGTGTTATGTGCGTTCAGTGCCGGTGGTTGATTTTTTTTACTGTTGTTGTTTTTTTACTTTTATTTTTTCTGCTCTTGTATGAGTGGTATTGGCAAAGTCGCTGGCGTTGACTGTGATTCACTTCAGCGTCGCCGGGTGCGACCGCTATTTGGCGAGAAACTGCTGTTGGCCTGTTGGTGTAGGCGAGTATTTGATGTTTGGTTAAAAAAAAAAAATGAAATAAAGAAAAATATCAAATAATAAAAACAAAAATGTGTGTGCGAGCGCTTGATTTTATTTAAATGCCTACATTGTACACATATGATATTGGTTGGTGGTATTTTTCTCGATTTCCTTTTATTTTTAAAGCAAATTTATGCTTTTCAATTTCTCGGATATTTCGCGCATATTTTCACTCGCTTCAAAAAATGTACGACAGCGTCGGTGCACACAGTTCGGTTTCGGCAACGGTTTATTGCTTAATATGCGAGATTGCGGCTGTTTGTGCGCACAGGGCGTATACGTAACCTGCGGGCGTTGTATGAAAATTCAAGAATAATTGCTGTGGAACGAGATACATGCAATAAATGCATAGTTCGAAATATATGTATAAACACATACAGATATACATATCTACGTACATATATGTATATACGTGTTTCTATGCATATGTGGG